CCGATCGGTACAGTATTGAAATTTTCGGTTCGGTATTTTTACATAAAAATTAGTACCAAAACCGATCGGAACCCTAAGTTTCACAAATATGCCTTGCAGATTTTATAAAGGTTTTTTTGCAAATTACTATAGATATCTACATTCAAATATATACACATACCTTCATTTTTACTTTTTTTAATTTTTAATAGACCTAATTAAAGCCCATGGGATATAATGGAATATAATTAGTCTGTAACTATGTTCAAATAGTCTTCTAAGTTCCTGTTTATCAGATAATAAATGGAAACTTAGAAATATATATCTTGACAAGTTAGTTTTTTACCTATGTTATTAGAACTCTGGTGTTAATAATATAGGAGAAATAAAGAACAACAAGCTAACCAATAGGTAGTGTATTCTATCTTAAGTAGTTTAGAAAATAAATAGAATCTGACAATTTGTTGCAAAATATGTAAAAGCATTTACAACAATATTCAATAAACAAGGTGTACACCAGTTACAAAAAAAAAAAAAGTTATAAACAAGACATTGTTTATAATTAATAAAAAAAAACCTTATTAATTTGAGAGAAATCAGATAATTCCATTATTTTCCAAAGAAAAAAAATCTTTCTTATATAAATAATTGTTATACGAAACCTGGTTAGACTTTACATCGACTTATCATGTGACCATAGTCTCATGATTCAAACCGGGCACATTCACTTTTCGCATTTATCTTATTAATATACAATTATAATACATGATTTTGTTTTTTGTAATGTATAAAATAAAAAAGATATTAAAATTAAAATTAATGCTATTAAACTTTTGATCATTTTTATTACCAAAATTATCTTTTATATAATATTCAACTAAAAATCCAAACTGTTACCGCATCGCATCATTCTTGCAACTCATAATTTCATTTGTGTAATTCAACCAGAGGCGGATTTGGGTTTTTTTGTTCCATACTTTGAGCGAGAAGTAATCCTGTTAGGAACGCCCGCAAAATCCAGAGCACCTCTAATAAGATGATACCTAACACCTGGTAAATCTTTAACACGACCACCTCGAACTAAGACGTTACTATGCTCACTCTTTTATGATAAAAATTTTCGAGGCAATACATTAAACCTATATTCAGAATTTATCAGTGTGAATAAAAAAAAAATAGATACCAAATTATGCCCTTCGCCAGGTATGTAAGCTGTTACAAACTTGCCGGTTGATAGCTTGACACGTGCAACTTTACGCACAGCAGAATTTGGTTTTTTTGGCTTGGTAGTGTAAACCTTACTGCAGACACCTTTTCTTTGGTAACATCCTACCAGGGCAGGAGATTTGGAAAGTTTGGTCTTTTTCTTACGCATACCGCGTATAACTTGATTGAAAGTGGCATAGAGGGCGGTTTGCTGTTGACTTTGGTAAACATTAATTGTTGACACTGGAAAAGGGCAGCATGTGTGTCTTTGAATAAAATGTGGCCACAGATTAAGACTAGCAATACGCCGGTTACCAGGTGTCAGAAATGTCTGCAATAGTCCCGAGATCATAAATTTGAACCTTTAGGTGAGAGCAAAAGTGATCGCCTTGATAACGATAATCATTGGTATGTGTATCAAACACGTAAATTTTATCTGAAAAATCTCAGATACGTATTCTCAATTTCGATACGTCATGATATCCACCTTACTTTGGATTCGCAAAGGGGTTGCTGCCGAACTACCTGAAAAATACGAGCTCGATGACAAAGAATACGAGCGGATCAATGATTTTGCAGCATTGCAGTTAGAAGAAGAACCCGAGCCAACCATGTAATAAGAGCTTTTCGCAGTTGAATGAATAATTTCGATATAACTCACAAGTTTCTTTTAAAATAGTAAAAATGAAACAAAAATGGAAACCGAAGGTGGAGATTCAGATTCAGAACTAGCAGAATATAATTTGGATCAATATGATGACGATAAAGAGACTAATGGAGAAAGTTAATAATCTATTTAGTCGCTTATGGACGTTGTCGAATATTCTTGAAATGCTAAAATATTTTCTAAACATAAAAAACCAGAGATGTCTATTTTCGGAAATATAAAAGGTCTAACTTATTACACTTCAAATGAAGAGGATCCATATATCACCCTTAATGATGAGGTAAACACTGAATTCCTAGGAAAAGGAAAGCGAATCATGATTTTATTAAATTTCTTTTAATGTGTTAATAAAGGATGATGAGACTGATGATATTAGGATTCTTGCCATCGACAATGTCTTGGTGGCAGCAAAAACAGAAGATGATATTTCGCAACTGGAAATATACGTATATGAAGAATCCGAGGATAACCTCTATGTACATCATGATATATTGCTGCCATCATTTCCTTTGTGTCTCGAATGGCTAGATTTTCGATTGGGTAAGAAATCTGGAATGGAAGGGGGTGGAAACTACGTCGCTGTAGGGACATTTGATCCAGAAATTGAGATTTGGGATTTGGATACGGTGGATTTGATGTATCCCGATGCAATATTAGGAAGGCGCAAGGAAGAAAAAAAGAAACGAAAAGATTCTGAAGTAAGTAAAAAAATGTAGTCTATTGGAAAATAGCGAACGATCAAGTTTTTTTTTTTAATTACAGCGATTCTCTAATTTTCATAGAAACCTAATGCAAAATATCATACAGATTCAGTCATGTCATTATCATGGAACAAACACCACAGGTAATTGGGTCATTTTAAATTTATGTGCATTGATTTTATCAGGAATTAATTTTAAATCAAAATAAAGAAATCTATTAGCAAGTTCCTCGGCTGACACCACGGTAAAACTGTGGGATCTCCAATCGTTGAAATGCGCATATTCGTTTAATCATCACAAAGACAAAGTACGTTTGCAGCTTGAACGTTTTTATTTTAAATTCGCATCGTGCTTCCTATTCACACTAAGAGTTTTTTCGAAAAGTAGGTTCAACAGGTGGCATGGCACAACATCGAGTCAACTGTATTACTGACCGCATCTTTTGACAAAACCGTGGCGGCTTTTGACAGTCGCGCACCGGATAACGTTGCATATTGGAATTTGGGAAGCGCTGACCCAGAATGTATACGTTGGGATCCGTTTGCGCCTCATTACTTCTACGTCAGCACGGAAGCAGGCTTGGTTTTATATTTTGATGTACGGAATCCCGGTCAAAACACTCCAATTTTTACATTGCACGCTCACGACTCGGCTGTGACATCTCTAGACATTAATCCACTGATTCAAGGGTGTGTGGTTACTGGATCGACGGATAAAATGATTAAAGTGTGGGATGTCAAAGATATGAAACCAAAAATGGTCACAAGTCGAGATTTGGGATTAGTAAGTTATATTTTGTGGCGTGTTAGACTGTGCACGTGATTCTAATAATTTTTTTTTTGTTCCGAAATCTAGGGAAAAATATTTTCCACTCAATTTTGTCCAGATTCACCCTTTCAATTGGCTGCGGCAGGTTCAGAAGGAAAGGTATTTATTTGGGATTTATCTAGCAATGCAGGTATAAGAAATTCGTTCAAAGGAAGGACAAACGTACCAATAAGAAACGATGATTCAAATGTCGAGGCAAGTATTAATTAAAAGGGGAGTTATTATTATTTTTTTAAAAAAAAAAATAGTTACAAACAATTATTCTCTAATAATTTTCAGAAAATTGTGAATGCTCCACAAGATGACAATAGTGAACAAGAAGAAGACAGTGGTGATAGTGAGGATTGGGAAGATATGGAAGATGATAGTGGTGATGACGTATAATTTTCATAAGCTGCTAACGCGAGATGATACAAGACAATAGATATAAATTTCGAATATGTCGAATATAGTATTCGTTGCATGTACAATATAGTCATATCGAATTTATTATTGTCGTTTTTTTTTTGTTTTTTTTTAAAAAAAGTGCATAATAAGCCCCATTTAGTGAAATGATAGTGGTGATATGTATGTATGTTAAAACAAAATTAAAGGAAAGTATTTTTCCATAAAAAATAGAGAAAATAAAGAAAGACAAAAATTTAGCTATTTACATCTAACCTAAAAAAAGGTATTCTAGCCATTATCATTTTTTTTTTCTCATGTCTCCGGTTTACTGTTTTAGACGACAAATATTAAGACAATTTTTTAAACTGTATTATCGATCCAGATGCATAATTTTAAAATGAATTCAAATAAGATTTTAGAAAAGTCCGAAAATTAATCTTGCTTATCATTGTCAATACAGTTTGTTTCATAAGAATTGCCTATGTAGAAAATTGTCATCTCTGTTCTTTTTGGTGTCCCCGGCGCATCAGAATTCATATCGGACAATCTCTACTCATCATTTCTTCACCGATCTCTGTAAAAATTGGTACCAATGTCTCCAGATATGACCACAGATAGA